GGTTTATGGTTTACTTGATCTTTGTCATTGCCCATTTTTCCTATTACTGTATTATATTCAAGTATATTGTGAGCTAGATGTAGTTAAACAGGCCTGTAAATCCCAGTATTAGGGAGATAGAGGATGGAAGATCAGGAGTTCAAGGTCATCCTTGGCTACACAGTAAGTTTTAGGCCACCTGGGGCTACATGAAACCCTGTTTCAAGAATGGAAATAAAAATAGTATATTAGCTGAATGTGGTGGTGCATACTTTTAATCCCAACACTGGAGCTACAGGGAGACCCTGTATTTTTTTTTAAAGGATATTATGATTAAAATATGCTTCATGAAAGTCACCTGGGAACTTGCCATATACTACTTATTTGGTTAGGTTATTGTTTATATTTTTATTCAGAAAATAATTTTTGTTCAAGGAGTTTATCGGGTTGCAAAATACCCAATGATCCCTTGAAAGTACAAACAAATTTTTCCATGGATATTCATTTTTCTTAAAAGTCTACAGTTTTAATAGATTCTGAAACAGATACTCCTAAATGGTTTAGAAGTTCTTCCTTCACATGTATGAAGAAATAAAATTGATGCTTATAAACATGAAATGAATAAGAACTTTCTGCTAAATAAAAGCTGAGTGAATTTATATTAAGATATTTCTAATTGGGAGCTTTATTGTTAAAGATTTTCTTTTTATTTATGTTTGTGTGTATGTGCACGTGTGCATGTGTACACACATGCCCATGTGTGCATACACAAAGACCAGAAGAATCAGATCCCTGTGAGCTGCCTCATGTGGGCGCTGGAAAATGAACTGAGGTCCTCTAGAAGAGCAGGAAACACTCTTAACCACTGAGCCATCTCTGCAGCCCCTGTTTAAAAGATATTTTCACATGCATGCACACACACACACACACACACACACACACAACTATTAATGAAATTCCTACATTAGTAGCTTTGAACTTTTAATTAGTACAGGTTTTTTTCTTATTCTGCTGAGTCAATAATTAGACTTTTCATTTAAAAATGGGTATCAAAATTAATTCAGATAAATAAGAAAATTAAAATAAAGATGTATAGAATTAGAAACTGAATTTTCAAAGTTATGAGTCCTATTATTATTATTATTTATTTATTTTGGTGCTGAGATGTCACTGACCACACACAAGAAAAAATAGAGACTTTACAGAATTTCTTCCCAAATAATTACTAAACATTAAAGAACAAGAGCAATAGTGAGCATTGGCAGCAATAGTAAATCTTGGAAGAGGGGAAATTGTGCTGTTTAACAGTGGACATTATGCTGAAAGCATCCAATTTTCAATAACCAATTACGAGGCTTACATGCAAGAAACAAGAAGATACAGCTCATGCACAAGGGGTTGGAAGGAGCAATCAGTAAGAATTATCCAAGAGCTAATGCAGATATTTTATTTAGCTGTTTTTAATATTGTCAGAAAAGTAGAGGAAGCTACTATGTATTTAAAAAGTTAAATAAATTATGAGAGCAATATCCTGCCAAATAAGAGATATCAATAATGATACGGAAACTACACAAGCAGAAAGAAAAAGCATAGAATAGAAATTTTGGAGTTGAAAACTACAGTAACCCAAGTGAAAAATTAGTAAAGAGTGTCTCACCAGCATATCTGAACAGGTAGAAGAAAGAATTACAATCAGTAGAGTCGAAGATAGGTGCATTAAGATTATCTAGAGAGGAACAGAATTTTTTTTTAAAGAGTGAAATAAATTGGGGCCTGGAGAAAGTCATCAAGCATAACAAAATGCACATAGTGGAAATGCTAAAGAACAGGAGAAGAAGGAATAGAGAGAATTTTTAAAGAAATACTTGAAGGAATAATGTCACAGAAGTTCAGTAAGCTCCAAGGAAGATAAACCCCAAAATATGATATAGTCAAACTGTCAAAAGCCATAGACAAAGAAAGTAAAACTACAGAGGAGAGTGTTCTGAAAACAGCAAGAGGGAAGCGATTCATCACATACAGGGGATTTGTAATAACATTAACAGCAAATTTTTCATTAGAAATTACGAAGATTAACTAGAAACAAATGGAATAACATTTAAAGTACTGAAAGAAAAAGATTATC